GGTAACCAGACTTGTGAGCCACTAATGTGAACTTTGGGAAATGAAGGTCATGAAAAGGTAAAAGGGCAACAAACACTCCCCCTCATCCCTCTCCTGCAACAGCAAGAAAAACAAGTAGAAACAAGTTTTGGAAAATGTGGTTCGTGAAGAAGATATGGGTACCCTAATTTCTTACCAGTGTTTCCTTTCAGGTGTTATTTGGTTTCAGGTTTTGACTCCCACTTTTTCCACGGTACTCTTCTAGGGTGGCTACAAGGGAAGGGAAGTTTCACGGCAACACTGAAGTTATAATTGTAGACATCCACTGACAGGCATCATCTAGGTATTAATGTGGTATTTTCCACATTACTGTTCTGAAAATTTTGATGCAGTCTCACATCCCATAACATACATAGCTGCTTGCTGAGCTGTATGATCTAACTAGTTACCACATCACTACAGTAAAATTCCTTCCAGATACTACCTCCCACAATCAGGACATCTTTGGCTTGTCACGGGGATTTCATGGGGGTTTAAGATACTGATTACTAAGGTAAAATACCAATTTCTGAAGGTTTTACTTGTAATTATGGCAGAATTTTCTTTCAAAGTGTTAGTTTTCTTGTTCAAGAGAAGGAAAGAGGACGGAGAGGATGTGCCTTTTCAGTGGTGAAGGTGAGCTTTGGGACCTCCTTCACAGCTAAATGAGAGTACTTAGAGACTGACAGGACCAAATGGATGCCAGGGTTTTAACGATAGTACTTTTAAATTAGCAATTGCAAGCCGATAAACCATCTGACTGCTGGTGCTATGCAATACAGTAATCTTATCACTGCTGACTGAGAAGAAAGGTGACCAGCAGAACACAGAAGGCTAATTTTGAGTCCTTTTGTCTCTCTTGATCCCTGATATGGACAGAGTTCAGCAACTGGGATTAGAAATTTGAACAGAAGTTCACAGTATGTACATGGAAAACTCTTGGGCCTTCATGAGCAGACTACAAGAACATCATGGTCTGAGCAGCAGGCTGTAGGAAGGTGCAGTACAAAAGTGAACCACTCTATGGACCAGACCCAGCCACAGGTTGTCAGTTGGACCATCCTGCTCCACCAACACCAGAGTGCCAAATCTACCCTTCTCAAGAGTGGTTAGAGTGAGTCAGTGTTTGAAGAATGTAAGCTACATGTATAGCCATGTTGCTATGGAAGTTCTAGTGTGTTTAGAAAACTGACAACAAGCTGCAGTTAATCTCCAGATGAAAGAGCCAAAACTGCAGTAGATAAAACTGCGGATGAGACCAACAGTTAGAAAAGTGAATTGTGGCAAGGGAGTAAGTTAGCTGGGCTGTGAAGACTATGGCCTACCTGTAGAAAGCTGTAGGATCTCAAAAGAAATATGCAAAAAATGCTTCTTTGTAATGAGTGGCTGATGAAGACTTTGGACCATAGCATAAGATGACAGGAAAGGTAGTGAAAACGCCATGAGAGATATTAAGCAGAACATTTACTTACAAGGGATCTCATCTCTACAGGTGCTTCTGTTCCAGGCACAGGAAACTTGAAACTATGTGCTAAAGGTCTTGGGACCATGAAAAAAGACCAATCTACATGGATGCAGCAGGCTACCAATTAAACAGAAGGAAACCTAACTACTCGGAACAAAACAGCAGTAACAGCAAAACTGTTTTGGGAGGTACAGATACTGCAAGCACATGAAGTTATAGATTTGACCAGCGACAGCATATTTAGTCTGATACTGTTTTCCACTGCTTTAAGAAAGGTAAATTGAAATATGCACAAAATTACACTGTCAGCATACAAAGGGATGATGGTTTCATGAGGTTTTCCAGCATCAAGTGCATGCACTTCTAAATTAATGAACTAAAAGTTTCATGCCTTTTATTTGTGATGTCCCTAAGACAGGAGGATTTGTGACTATATATGGATGTGTAGAGAAGAGATTGCAACTGACATTTTGAGCAAAAACAAACAGAGCAAAGATAGGCATGACTGATTGTTCCAACAAACATCAGACAATTTTGCAACGCGTATGCAAGTCTGAACTCTCTCCAGTTTTCAGCTATATAAAACTACCCCACTCAAAAGCTTTCATTTTTAGTTCTGAATTGCTTATTTCTTTTTTACATCACTATAACTGTTCAAAAATTAATGGGACCTCCTAGACGAAAAAAAAAGGTCAGACCTCTTTTTGTAATGAATCAAAATTGCAAATATTTTATTGGTAATTTAGTATGTTTACACTGTCTGAACCACAGAAGTTGCTATTTTAAGTGAGAACAGAAAATGAAATATAGAATTATTTTACACAGCTATACAGAACAATTAAAAAAAATCCTTTTAACATTATTTCAGTACATATAACATTCACTTGCTAAACCACCCTTGTGTTGATTAAGAGCTGTTTTGGACAGTGAAACGCCACAGCTCACAGCAGATGCTCCATAACCATCAAATTTTGCATTTGATTCTCTGAGGTGTAGTACCAGTGTATCAGTTCAGTCCACCCAGTCTGAAACACTCCCTCTCAACTCCGAGAGAGCTGTGTGCAGGCAGAATTCAGAGCAGCTGCGCAAGTAAAATCTAGCTACTACCTGAAGGCCAAAACACAGAGATGTGATGTAGTTTCTTACAAGTTTCTTTTTCTCATCTCAAGCCATTCTGTGTCAACACTTCAGGCCATTGGGACAGATGACTCTTACTCTGTCACACCACTCTGCGCAAGCACATTGAACTCCTATAGAGAAGTATGTGCCTCTCTGCAGTTGTTCTGCTACCTGTGAGCCCTGTTTGAGGCTTAGGGAGTCTTACTTAGACTGGCTGTTTTACCCCAAGAGCTGATTTTACCCTCTTTTCCTAACTTTTCTAAACAACTCCTTTGTCAAAAAAAAAAAAAAAGAGTATTTAGCTTTTTTTATTCAAGGTAGCAAATGTCAGGTAGGTTTTTGAAAGAGCTATTGCTGTGCCCTAATTCTGCTCCAACTGAATTGACTGGTTAAACAGTCATTGATTTCAGTGGATGGAGGAATAGACCTGTACTGAGGACTTTAGAAAATGCCTATTTTCAGTATTAAGAGATTTAATTTTAGCTAGAACACAGACGCACTGGAGCTTTCCTGTGTATTCTTTTAACTGTATGAGAGCAAAAGTTTGGAAAACTTTTATTACAGGAAACGAGAGCTTCAGTAAAAATACTGCTTTGAAAAATACTGCAAAAAAAGACAAAAAGTGTACTAATATGTATATTTTAATTCCAAAAAGTGGGCAGTATATATGGTCTTTATTTGCATAAACTAAATGTCTGACTTAGCAGGACTCATCTTAACAAAGAATTAGTCAAGGAAAAAATGAAAAATATGTTACACATTTGCCAATACAACAGCTATATTTTAAATAAAAATAACAATAATATACATGTACAATACTGTAATGATATATCTTGATAAAAATAACACTGACCGGTATCAAACTTAGGATTTAACTGATTATTCATCCTTAACAGATGAAACACATTTCACAGAAATAGATGCAGGCAGGGTGAAGTGAAGTGATATTCATGGCTTACTGTGAGAAAGTTACCATGAAAGTTAAGGTAAAAATGTAAAGAACAAAACTTTAAATAGGTTTACATTTATAAAAGTTCAGCATTATAGCAGTTGGGTGCATGTGATGCAGAAAGACGGTAACAGCAACCTAACGGTAGACAACATACACACTTGCACAAATACTCACACACACAAACACACACGTGCCCATGCTCAAATGCATGTGCATAAGTCCTCAGCTTGATTATACAAGCATACACTTACTAGCTTTTGATGGGGCAACACCAGGAATGGGGTTCACCTCTTGTGTTTTTAGCTGTCTGCAAGGTAGCTGTAGCTACCTGAAGTCAGATGAGATGAAACCCATCTAAGGCAACATCAGCTGAACATTTTCATGAAAACGGTTTTCATCCTGAGCATATTTAAGGCAGTTTATTAAAAAGTCTGAAGTTGTTCAAGACTGGAAAAAAGGTAAGAATCCTCACATGTGGAATTTGGAAATTAAAAAAAAAAAAATTTCCTGAGTTTCGATAAATATTTTTATTATAATAAAATACCATGCCTATTGAAAACATGTCTTTTATAAAAGCATGTTTTATGACATTTTTCCTTGAAAAACTCATGCCTTAGTGCACAAAATATGTTAATAAGTCTTTGGGGACATCTGTAACAAATTAATAGGAAATGAAAAGCCAAAGAATGACCTGTCATGCATGTACAAAACGTGCATTGCTCCCGGCAACACACATCATGTTTACTACAGGCATCTTTATCTTTCTGTTTTCTCACAGGGTCCTGCCCATATTTTAATACTTTATAATTAACTACGATTCACTAAACTATTTACAGAAGCAGAAACTAATCACACATCTTCTTAAGCCCATAAATATGGAACTACAGAAGTAGAACATATTTTAAAACAGTATGAAGATGAGTGTGCTACAATAGTACTGTTCTCTAGAAGTACAGTTTGTGAATTATTTTCTTTATGAAGATTTAAATCTAAATGAAAATAGAAGTTCAAATTCTCCTGCTGTTTTCCTTGTCTGCATTTTTTCCACCTGCCATTTCTAAAGGATTTTGCCCAAAGACAGTATTTGGATTGCAAAACCAGTTGTAAATTGTCACAAAAGTATCTCGAGTAAAGAACCGTCAGGCTCTTGAATGCCCACCGTTTACAGGGGATACATTCAATTTGTTTTCAGTTAAAAACAGCTGGTTTCCAATACTAGCCATTGTTTGTATGGTTCTAGTAGTACTAATTTTTGCTTTTGGTGTGTGTTTCTCTCCTCCACTGTCATTAAACATAGATAACGTGGAAACAGTGAAATGGACCATACCCAAAGTGCTTCCAAATGCACTGAACACACTAAGTGGTTACAAAATGGTATTTATAGAGGCCTTGGGAGGTTCCTTCGAACAATAAGAGGTAAAAACAATCATGAGAGTGAAATGCACTTTTGACTTGACTGCATCTTTTAATATTTTCATTAGCTACCTCTATCATACCCCTGATAAAAATTCTACTTTTTTACATTTAAACTTCTATTACAAAGTATTTCATGTTTTATTTGAAAAAAAAAAAAAAAAACGCAATAGTGATGGTGGTTAATCTGCTTTATAAAAGATAATACATTGAGTTATATATAATAATGGCTTTGATCCAATTAACGTTATATTATACTGCTTAGTAATTACTGTGACTTCAGTTCCTACAACTGTTATAGTGAATACAAATGATCGTTTAATGTACAGGAAGTGGGGATCATTTGGAAGTGCTGATTCAGAAGTATTCAAGTGCTAACAATGACTTGTTCTTTCTACGCTTTTCTTCATGTTCCATAAATGCCGATTTTATAAACATCCATGATTTTGAACGTGACACAGTTTTGGGGGAATTATTTTTTTTATAACCGTTTTTGTGCAAACACAAACCTAGATTTTTCTAAACGTTACCATCTTGTTAAAAGTAATTGCCACTTTTACTTTAAAAGGCACCAGCATTAATGTAAGAGAATATACCTTTTATGCTTGTTTTATGAAGAACTGTACTTGTTACTGGAGCGGAAATTATCATATCCGTGATCATTAGCTTTGAACTTTAAACAGGACTGCCTTTCCTCCAGGGACAACAGATCTTTGGATTGGCACCAGCAACACAAGCATGACTGTTAAAATAAAAGGAATAAACATTTTACATCTTTTTTTTGCACATGTGGCAAAACGCACTGAAATGCTGCCCTTCTTCAGCAGTACAGTAGGAAACGGCAAGTGTGCAAGCTGCCATTTTGGGATTACAGCGTAAGCAAAGAACCAAGGTTAAGCTTTGCATTGCTCAAATGACCACTAACTTCTGGGATGCCCCATTAGCAACCTGAGCGCTGAAGGGCAGGAAGAGTTATACTGAGTTATATATAACAATGGCCACACACATACTGCTTCAAGTCTGGTCTGCAATTCTAAATGCATCTGAAAATAAAATTACGACTCCTTGTTGCCCTTTCTCTGATAATCTTTCTTGGAAAAAATGTATGCACAGTAATCTATACTTTCTAAACAAGATGCTGCTATTTAGTTGATTTTTTTGAGGGGGAAAAAAGAGAATTAAGTAGGAGAATAGTGAAAATCTACATACAGTTCATACATTTACTAGATGTACTGCGGACCTTTTGCTGGTGCTACTGACTGGTCTTTGGGTGCTGGATGCCCATCTGGGATCTTGCACACCCACTTGTTTCAATGGTCAGGATGCTAGAGATTTCTTACATGCTCTCAGCTCCAGTGACTCTTTCAGGGAGCTGGCAATGTAGACAGGGAAGATGAGACCGACACTAAAGCCTCTGCACCATGTGCTGTCACAATTATGTGGGAAATACCCTAACACTACTAGATGTAGAGCTGACTGGCTTCTGATGGAAAGATACAGCCAGTAACGAATTTACATAGCCAGGCAATAAGCCTAGCAGGGGCCAACAGTTAAATGCTTGGCAAGAAAAGAAAAATCTAAGAATTTGTGGTAGACAATGTAAGAACCCTGATACAGTGTCTGAAGAGAGACACTGGGGGGGCACAAAAAAGCCCAAATCTGGACATCTTCCGACCAGACATGAAGGCTGAAGGACTGATGGGCTGCAATCCACATGCAATCCAGAGCCTCAAATGCTGCGTGGAGAATTAGTGCCCAGGACTATTCACTCAAACCAGGGCAAAACTATGAGCAGGTCTGCCTCGTAAAATGTTGGCGTTGGAAAGGGACGAGTGGATACTTGCACCCTCTGCCTTACGTAACTGCCTACTGATTTAAGCGCTCGGTCAGGATGGGGGTAACCCGGGCTCAGCACCCTCCCCATTGGGTTGTAGAGGATATGGCTACGTGAATCTCTGCAGCGCGGTCCCAGTCTGCTTTGTCAGTGCTCTCTAAGTGGCTGGGTGCCAGCTCCAGTCAGGAAGCGATGCAGCACTGATTCGCATGGTGCCAAGAGGGATTATTGTACACTCCTCTCTTTTGCTTTCTCTTTTTGTCCCTATGAATCCTTAATTCCTTTGCATAAACACCTACCATAACCCAGCTAAAATTTAAAGTAAAATGTAATGACCATTTAAAACACTTTGTGCATGTTATGGAATGAATTTTACTGCTGACATCACCTTTTAACCAGAGGAGCAGCTCTCAGCAGCCTCTTACCTTAAAGCAGTTTTGGAATCTTTTGCTCACCAAATACAGAGCTATCGGATTGATGCAGGAATTCAGTGAAGCCATGTTAATACCAATGTAGTCCATCACAAGAAAAAAGCTGTGTGGAAATTAAAGTAAGTGAGACACTTCTCATTTTCTCTGAAAAGGCTTAACAGAGGTTTACAACTATGAAAATTGGACTCAGCTTCACTTGACCAAGACTACCCATTAAACGTAATAGTAAAGGGGCTTGTATCAAAAGGGTTAACTCATGGAGGTAACAATTGTGCTCAATAATAAAGTTTGAATCAGTAGACCATTTTCATTAAAGTAATTTCAGAAGATCCAACCACCTTAACTTGTGGAAGGAAACATTCATGAGGTTTTCTTCACAGATTTAATCCTAGCTGTTCTGTTGAAAGGGAAAACGGGGACAGAAATTTCCCTTCAGCCCTCGTAATGCCACAAGACAGTAGGACAGTCCCAAAAGGGATCAGAAGAAGACAGGCAAACAGGACAGAAGCCCTGTGTTCATGGGATTCCTCATAATTTCCTGACTCTGCTACTGGAGTGAAACCAGAGTGTCCTGGATGAAGATGCAGGGAGAACTTCAGACACACAGAGTAAGCTAGTTCATTAGGAAATCCAAATATGCTTAAGGAGAATGTCAGCAGTGCACAGGCATTTTATTTTTACAGTCTTACCTTAAAAGTTCACATCTGTTGGGGTCCTTCTGATCATAAATAGTGAGCTTCAATATTCTACTTAAGTGAAGTGGGAGCCAACACAAGGCAAAAACAAGTACCAGACAGAACACGGTTTTGGCCACCTCACGTCTCTGAAAAAGAAAATTGGCCAGAATAGTGTTATAGTTTCTGTCTGTCTCTTGACTGTTGTTGTCTTCTAACATCCAAATGTTTAATAAACAAAATAAAACCCCTATCAAAATAGGAGTTAGGAGAACATTAGAATACCTTATTTTCGTGGGATATGTACTTAATCTTTTATATTATTTTAGATGTCTTGTACTGATTCGCTGTATCCAGATTTTAAAAAGTATGAGTAATAAAATGAAAAAATCAAGGACATAAAAACAGTCATTTAAATTAAAAAGAAGAACATACTTTTCTCCCCAATCACTTTCAAATACCAGCTTGTTTTCAATTGTATTTTCTTGTGCTTTCATCTCAGGTCTTATTTTAAATGCCCAAAGAGATTTCAATTACAGCTTTATCAAGGTGAGAGGAAAGGAGCACAAATATACTTTATAGTACAAATGTGGTTTAATTCTAGTGACATACGATGTTTGTCTCCGGTGCACTACTAACTTGGAATGTATTTTGGGATGTGTTTTGTTCTGCTAACATACACTGCTAACCTCACTATAGTTAAGCATGAAATTGATTAAAAATAATTAACGAATTTACAGCACCAGCTTCTATATTACAGCACAACCTCAGTTTTCATTACAAAATATCCAGCTCTCATTATTGTAAAGAAAAAATAAAAACTATAAAACTTGAAGGATTAACACCAAAGAAGAAAAAAAAGTTTTGTGATTGCCAGCGAAAATCTTAGGTTTCTGAGGGATCTGAGATAGACAGATGGATAGATAGATAGATAGATAGATAGATAGATAGAGGTTTATATATATATGAGTTCAGTAGCACCACTGTTAGGAAACTTCTCCTTACTAGTAATCTTGAAGTCGTTACACAAGAACAGAATAATGATGAAGCAGTAAAGTCAGTAAAGGTATTACTGTCCTCTCTACAGTCAGCAGAGTTGTCAGGGATAAATTTTTACCTGTTTTAAGTGGTCATTTAAAGCAATCTGCATCCCACTTTTCTTTCGTAACATCTCACAGGTCATGAGAGTATAGAAAAATGCTGTGATAGCCAGTGGCAAACAGAAGTAAAAGCTGAACAGCCACCAGTCTTTAGCTTGCTTGTAAAACTAGAAGGAAAACAAAAGCAAAAACATTGTTAGGAGTTGAATGTTGAGCATTTTGGAAACTATGCTATAACTAATTGGTCAGTCTGTCCTGAAAAGCATCTCTATAAGGTGTACATTACAGATGAGAAAACAGGACAAGACAATAATATGCCCAAAGCCCACAGAAAGACAAAAGTTTCTGAATGCTCTTCTTTCAGCTTCAGAAATTTGTAAGTATTGCATTTGAACATTATATTCACCTACATTTCACATACGCTTGTGCACATTACAATCCCCACAACACTGAGAAGATCCAAGTAACTGTTCCGGAGATGTTACACACGTCAGTGTCTTACCATCATAAAGGATGTTTTCTGCATGGGGTGAAGCAGGCAGATTCTAAGATCCCTTCCTCTGTACTCCATCGTAATCATGTCAAATGCGATGGCTTCTGGAACAGCCAATATCACAGATATAACCCAGATCAGTACAATTTCAACAGCAGTCCACTTTGGCACTCCAATTCCTTTAATGCGACTCCAAGAAGCAACTGCTCGGTACCTGAAGCAACAGCACACATTTGCAAATTAGCAGTATAAGAAAACCCACCTGATTTAACTGGCTTAAACTCAGGTTATTCGTATTATATCAGCTGAGTGGGAAGGCGAATTTGAGCCAATGCCCGTATTGAAAAGAAATTACAGAGTTTGCTGAAAAAATGGGTCTCACCTATCTATACTGAGGGCACACAAACTCAACACTGTGATGCCCACTGATGCCTTCTGAATGAAGGGTACTAATTTGCACATTTCGACACCAAAGGGCCAGTCCTCTGCAAGCAGCTGTGAAAAGAAAACAACAATTAGAAATGAAACATTTTTAAAAAATAATTCCCAAAGCTGCAACATGGACTTTTCTCTTGATTGTTTTTCTTTTCCACCATGTAAAACTTAGGTCAAGAAGAACCTTTTCACAAGGGAGTCTCCAAGGTGTATGGCCTAAAAACTAGGCAGTAACATCCCAGTCACTGGGCAAGGCTATGCATAAAGGCTTAGTCCTGACTTCTTAAGCCCTGAAACTCCATTAATTTCGCTTCTAACTTCACCACCCCAGTGCTCATGGTAAAAAATGACTTAGCAGGTGAAGATTTCCCTTGGTTTTGTATTGGCTTTATCTGTCTTGAGTGTTCATTGCTTTTCTCTGATATGTTCCAAATAACTCTTCATTTACTAGAAATACAGAAAATTACTTGAGGCTGATCAGAACAGGGATGAAGCCAACAACTGCACATCTGGGGTGGGGTTTATTTGAAGCTTGGTGTCTAGGCTCCCTCAGCTGAGAAGTCAGGCACCACTGGAGAGCAACATATCCCATAGTTTTTAGCTGACCATCTGAAAACGAAACAAGGGACCCACTGGACACTGAGGGAGCCTAAACAGCTGGTTTGAACTAAATGTTTCGCAGCAGGTAAAGACAGATCAGATAAACCCCGCACTGAAGATCTTTATTGACCAGTTTTCCAATGATTCTGTATTACAACACCGAAAGGACAATCTGCACATTCAGCATACCTGTAAGTGCTACAGAATAAAGAAAACACCACAATGAATTTTAGGTTGATTCAATTGCTCTTTGGGTCATAAACTTTAATGGCAATCTTCTGTCACATCCCTAGCAGTACATTTTAGCTGATTTAGGGGACAAGACTTACTGGACACAGAAAGCACCCTCCTCAGAGCTGATGCTATGAACTGTTTGTCTCTAGCTTCAGTTTAGAAACATTTAATCTTTGTACTCTACTGTGAGCTGCTCTAATGGCTCAAATACACCACAGCAGCAGCCAAATCTTCCAGTTCCTCATAAAAACAAGACTCTCCAGAACAGACATTATGCCAAGAAATAGTCGCAATCGTTATATACAAAAGTAAACTTTCTAAGTTTCTGTAATTAGTTACGTTATCTAAGCCCATCTCTGTTTTTCATAACTGTCTTCAAATGAGGCCTTTTGGATCTGTAGCAGATAGAGGACTACAAAAGGGAAAAGGAGAGGAACTACCCCAAAGAGACTGCAAAATCTTTCCCTTGGCTCAGGTCTCCTCAGACATCTCATTTAACAGTGATGAAAGAAAAGGAGAAATAGGTCATGACACTGTATAGATTCTCCTGGGGACCAAAATGATTGAAAATAGCCACAGAGTTGCCTGCTCGTGTTCGTTTGGTTCAGCAAAGTCCTTAAATACACATACATGTGCATCTAAAGATAAACAGTTACAAGGTCCAAGACAGTTTTTGAAAAGCCCTGATATAATTTAAGTATCATTTTATTTTAACACAAAGGAAGTCAAGTACATTTCATGACCATGTGCTTTTGGAAATCCCTATGAAGTGTCCACCAGTATTTTCAGGTACCAGAACACCTTCACCAATCTGCTTTAGTCCTGTGCTGAAATGGGGTCTTCAAAAGAAGAGCAGTAGGAAAACTGTAACATAGCCAGCTTTGATCTATTTCTTAAACGATCTGCTCAAGTAAGACAAAGAATATAATGCTTCTGAATAAATGAAGCAGGAAAATAAATTCTAAGGATTTATGTTTCTTGAGAATTTTATGGAAAGTAATAAAGCAGAGGAAGTAGGGATGAGGCTGTAATAACCATACAGTATCTTTCACTTATGTGATGTGGGAAAATAACTCAGCCTGTAATTAAAGTATTTTCAGTAAAGCCTCTCTCTGAGACTTCTTTGAATTGCCATAAGGGGTTGATAGTATTATTTAACTACTATTAAAATTGCAATGTGAATAATTACAGGTGTTCTAAATGTATACTCTACAGAATCCAGTGACACCTGGACTAATTTAATTTATATCAATCAGGCAGTGAACGTCCAGCCTACCACACCTAGTAGGTAGCAAGTCCAGGAAGCAAGGACTGGGTAGCAAATACATTGTACACTTGTTTACAGTATCTATTGTATATTGTACATGTGTGTATATTAAACCAGAGATGATTCATTAAAAAAGCACTTCAAAATTAAAATATTCTGTTCTTTGTTGAATTCAGATTCAGAACTTTGATGAAATTTCTGGTGGAAGATTCTGTTGAAGACTTTTAGCTACAACTAGCTGGTGTACGTGCAAGACACTCCCTGTCTCTCTTCCCTAAATCACAACTGTTCAGCCCCACATTGGAGATTTCCCTGAACTAATGCTTATCTCTCAGGTGCAGACGGTCACACGTGTGCTCCAAGCTGACTGGATTTGAGCCAGCTCCAGTTTGGGAGCCATATGGCTGGATTATAATGGGGCTGCACATGAGTGAATGCAGTCTACTGAGAGAAAGGGTACATTAGCTTGAGTTTAGCATAACTTCAAAACATTACTTGCATTCAGCCAGCTTAAATCAGGGGCAGAATGAGCACACAGCTGTCTGTATTGGATTGGAAAAGCACGTCCTTTATCTCTTGCAGCTGATGTATTGTGAAATTTGAGCATTTTAATGCATGAGTCATAAGTTTCTCTATCATGGTATTGCAAGTGGTTAATGATATGCTTTGCAGCAAAAGCTTGAAAACATTAAGAAAGTAAAAGGAAAAAGGTAGAATGTTTTAATTGCTGAACTATGCTTCCTTGTTGTTTCTGTTTGTCCTCTGTATTGCCATCTCCTCAAAATGCCTTAAAGTACAGTGAACATCCACTGTAAAGTATTCAGGAGCATCATATTTGTGGACAAGAGCAATGATTATTCTTAGTGAAGTATAGATGTAGTCTAATGCCATTTTGTATGGGTAAAACAATTTTCTTATGATTCATAATAGGGTATCTGTGCAAAGAGTGACATTTTACAAATTATAAATGACTTAGAGTCATGAGATACTGCCAAGTGGCAGCAAAGAGAAAAATAATGTTGAGTTTTCAGCAGTAAAATGCCAAGAGAAGTCTACCACTGGCTGTATTCTGCGGGACCTTTTCCAATGTTTTATAGTCACTTATTTTACGTGGACAAAACTTTAACTGCTAAGCCACAGAAATGTGTTGAAGATGCAATGAAATAGAATGAAAGGGAACACATTGCAGGACGATGTGAAATCATACTTAAAAGAACTAATACATCTGATGCATTCCTAGCAACCACTTTTTCAGACCACGCACAGATCTGAGCCTAAACTGATGTGAAAGCTGCACAGCTATGAAAGTAGCCCCAAGAGATGCCGTGACTCAGAGATACACCTGTGAATTGCAATTCCTGCCCTGCTTCCTCTTGGTTGTGTAGGAACAGAAAATTTTCGTAATCTGCTGCTGGAATACGCCAGCATGAGAGCACCATACGCTGCTCTGGATGGCTCAGCTGCTGTGGCCACCAGCCAGAAGGCTGATGCCACGTCTCCAACCCACTACTGTTGACTTTCTGCAGTCGGGCACGGAGAAGTAGCAAAGTGTGCGCTTATTCACATCAGTGCCCTTGTCCCGAACAATGAATGCACGCAGAAACACAGAGCAAGAATTCACGCTTCCTCCTAGCTGTGTGTTCACAGCACATCTAATTCACAGGACAATAGGATTCCATTTTCGTAATTATGAATTGCAGAGTTACACGGGAAATCAGACATAAAACTATACACCTAATTCACAAGCAACGTTTTTTCAATATATCCATGAAATGACTTACAGATTTTCACCTGATACTTTCGAGACAGAGAGGTCACGCCGATAAAGTATCTTCCAGTATTTCACAGGAGCAAGCATTTTTCAAAACAGGAAATTTGCCCAGGAAATGAAGCTTATGGTCAGGGATAAGTCAGACAACATTACAAAATTTATTAATATTTAACAATAATTATGATGTCAGGGTGGGGATCTTCCCTCTAGACAAGGAAATATATTTCCTGCTTCCTACTTAAGCTAAGAATGTTTACTGATCTATCCAATAAACAGTGTAAATCTTAATATGAGGCATGCAATTAGTTTCTTTTCCTGTGTCTTTATTAGTAACTTCTGCTTAGAAACTTAATTTTTAAAAAAATACTTAAGATCAAGTAATATCATACAGACATCCTAAAAATGACATAAACCTGATGTGTTTTCAAAGTAAAAAAATTCTGCAATTTCACAATCCCAGTGAAAGAACTGCATCAAAAGTAACAATTAAGAAAGATGTGCTGCTGTCAGATTGAGAAGCATAAACACAGAGTAGAAGCAAAAAAAACCAAATAAGATGAAAACTTGTTTTGAAATTTGTCACATGCATCTTTTAAGTGAATATATACATAACAAATGTATACATAATGAAAAAACTACTCTAAATTTACAAATCTATACTGACATCATCTGACGTACTTCAGTTTGGAGATCCATCATGAAAAGTATGTACGTGTACTTTCAGCAACGTACAGACATTTCCACCACCCAATACATTGGACTTCAGAGTAGGTTGTTCCCATCCAACTACAGAGCAAAGCTACCCCCCATTGCCTGTAGAGTCTAGACAGGTTCCTCCACTGGACAATTCAGATCTTTCTTAAGTGCCTATAAGCTGCACTTGTTGGCCCTAAAGGGCTCCTAAGCAAAATACACTTCTAGGTTAATATGGTCAGAGATATTAAACTTTGTGTAAGGAATTCTGAGATGAACTTTGCAAGACCTCAAGTAAGTGGTTCAGATGTTGAAAGAAAGGAAAAAATGCATTTCTCCCAGTAAAATGGCTGTTATCTTTAACATCAGAAGGACTGGTGGCCAAGAGTTGTAATATGGAATAGTAACAATGTTTTCTGAAGACAAGCATCTTGACTTTTTTGGAAAGTTAGGAAAAGATCAGCTTCATCATGATGCATGCCCTATGAGTACTTGCATTACAAGAGTTAGTAAGGTCATCACAAAGACACTTCCATGGAAATCCTGCCTTTTGTAGAGCACAGGTGGATTAACAAAGGGGCCAGTTTGCATCGGTATGGGATATTCAGTCCCTAATCTGGTCTTTCTTATATTTCCAGTGCTTGATGATGCTATATAATGCTAACTATATTTTTTATGTAATCCCTAAAATACATTACTGAAAAAAAATCATTGCCTACAAAACTGACTTTGACCTTTGATCATTGGTTTGGATAAAGACCAGTTTTTGTTCCTTCTCTGGATATGTT